CCTATTCAATAATGCGTATAGACTGAGGATTATGAAAAACTTGAAAAAATCAATTTAAATAGAGTCGACTTTTAATTTATGTATTCTTTCCAGTTTTTCTTTACAGATTTATCAATGTTATCGCCAAGAGTGATTGTAATGTTAAAAATTTCCGGCTCATTAAATATGCCCCAAAATTAAAATAACTTCTATATGTAACTACTAATTAGTTTATTTAGGACGATACTAATCTAACCTCCTTGGATCCTTTATAGGGGTTCTGAGATGAGTCTTGACTCGTTTCAAACAAGAAAATATAATACTTATTTTAACTAGTACTTTAATGACATATTAATTATTAGGAACATAGCATTTTGCGGTAATATATTGGTTGTATAATCAGTTTTGAATCTTTTTATCACAACCATCGAACAACATCCAAGGAACTTTAATATAATAACAAATTTTTAATGAAAACTGAATTTCAATAATTGGAAGTTATAGAAACGATAGACCAAAAAAAAAAATAGGTCATCGATTGATAGATATGATAGATCAATATAATATCTCCTAAATTGTCAATTAAATACACAACTACTGTAAATAAATACATAGGTAGGTAACTATGAAAATGTCATCAATATCAACGATATTCTAAGCTACCACAGTTTATTTGTGTATTTATTTTAATAAAGTTTTCAAAACAAATGCGTGTATCTGTAGGTATTTTTGAGAAAAATAATAATTATATTTCTAATAAATTGTATGTACACTTATTAATCTTACAATAAAATAAAGTTGGAAGGTATAATTAATTATCAAATAAGAAATAAATAATTAAGTGGTTAACTTTTAAGTAATTAGGTAAAACTTGGCTTAGCTTCGATTGAATATTAATCGACTAAAGTAAATGAATCCAATCTATTTAATGTTAAGTAATTTTGAAGAACGGTTTGGTAAATTTACTGTATGCATAAAGAATATTTTACGCAGATGTCATGAAATATTCTATTATACGATTTATGATAGGTTAACATGGTGAATTCGAATGCAGTTTGTATCCAGACGTTACTAACCAGTAATAATTTACATTTAGGCTGTGCGTTTTGAATTGTAAGTAATTTGTAATACTTGCCTACTACTAAACGAATGTTGACACAACTAGCTGATATTCTAAGTACATTTTTACTAGTTTAACGAGAAATATTTTCTAAAATATAAACCGAAATAGTTATAACATATCATAACTAATAAGTTATAATACTATACATATTCCATATTATATTATATACACTGTAAAATATACATATTATAATTAATATGAAAATTTGTATTATTGTCGTTGAATATATATAATTCTACGAGTATTGGGATTATGGGATTTTTATGGGTACCAATATTTCAAATAATTAGTATTTATATAAATACTAATGATAATGATAATGACAATTATTATTAAAAAAAAACCAAATAAGCTTGGGCTTAGTGGAAAATATATCCAAAATGTTAAAATCTGTACCATTAAAAAATGGAAATAGATACCAATCATTATATACTAAATTTGAAAATAAACGGGAGTCCAAGAATTAGGCTGCGGTTAATGTTGTTTTTTAAAATAAATTCTCTAACTGGGCCACTAAAATTTTACATTTTATAAATGGTGCACCCGGTGACTGGAACACTATTTAACTATTTTTATGAACCTTGTTAATCCTTAACTTGTTGTGGATCATACGAGTCTGATGAGCGTATTCCGAGATATATGGTATATTTTCACTTAATACCGTTATTATAATTACCTATGATTGTTTTAAATATCCATGGTGTAGGTCTTATCAAAGCCTATCAGTACCTAATGAATTATTTGATATTAACCTATGTAGAAAAAGCCAGGTTTTATTTTGTACAATAATATGTAACTAAAGTTATTTGTGAAAATAGTTGTTTTGAGCTTATTCCCAGCTTATTCTTTGTATAATTATTATAATTTATAATTGACTGTGTACATATAGTATAGTTGTATAATTATTTGTATTTTATTTAATAATTTTATGACTTTGTTGAATGTTTAAATATGTGACATTTTACAATATCAAATTGAATTTATCAAAAATGATGAAGTTATAAGTAATTTTAATTAAGTTATAAATATATTGGCCAACTGCCTATGCCCTTGATATATTTCATATTTTGTATTTGACCCGGGTAATAAAATATAAAAATATTTTGTGTATAAAGCTGCTAGGTAGATACAATGTGGCCCAATATGTACCAACATTTTTTCTTCTGCTTAATATAATTTGTTTTTTTTCAAAACTATTAAATCAATTTTTCCTCTTAACAGTGTTTCACTAAGCATCATAGCTAGGTACCGAAAAATGTTTTAAAAAAATAATATTATGCCCATTACCTAATGGATCTTTTTGGTATAATAATGTATTTACCTGTAATAAATTGGCTATTGGGTATTTTGAATGTAGCTGATGTTAGGTTGTACGCAAGTTGAGGTTAGTTATACGCAAATTGTAGATACATGTTTTAATATTATTATTATTAGTTGTATCACCTAATTGTAAAATTAATTAAAATATTACCTATTAATATAAATTCTCGCATTACTAATATAGTAAATTTGTATAATATATTACCTATTTTTATAATATTAATTACTGAAATACAAGAAATGTATTAATTATTATTTGATAAAAATTTCAGTTTCAATGGGAATGGTACTCATTGAAATATGGTACAAAGAAAAAAAAGAATCAAAACCATCTACATCAAAAAATAAAAATTAATGTTAAAAACAAGAAATATTAAATTGTAATGTACAATATTTAAAGTAATAATAATTATTGTTATTGTAAATATTATATTAATTAAAGTCAACTCCATTTCTAACTTTTTTTATAAATTGAATTTATGTTATTAGAATGGATAATTATTCAGTATAACTTATACATAATATAAGTATATATGAAAAAAAAATCTGTTTCTACCTACTTTAAATTATTGAAGTCATGACCCGGGCAAGGCCCGTGTAACCCCAGCTAGTAGCTATTAAATAAATATAGGTAATACTGTTGTAAGCTTTTCAGTATTAATTAAATAATGTAAATCACCTATAAAATTGAATTCATACAACATAATTGTCTGATTAAAAAATTTATTTTTAATATAATTGTGTATAGATCCTACCGTGTTGGATGAAATTTATTTCTCATAATATAATATTTTTTTTTTTAGTAGGACTTTTTATTGCAATACGTACATATTATTGTATACCTACATAGTAGGCAAATGCAGGGTCACCACTCACTAACTGAAGGAAGCGGACACATTATTGTACGGATCCTGATTGTCGCTTAGTATAGTTTTAATATTTTTATAAAATAATAAAAAATAAATGTTTTTCATTCCAGTTCAATATTATGTAACAGGTTTGTACAAAGTTTACGACAATAGTGATTATTAATACGATTTATAGCATTAAAAGTCATTAAAAGTGTTTTGGGAAAAGTTTGGTAAGTACCAAAACGGACTCACATAGAAACTAGTTTGTGACCCCCGGTATATTGGTATGGCTGATCGGATGTATACTATCATAGCAACATGACAAAAATGTATCAGATAAAATCTAAATGCAGTGGTTGCTTTTATAACAATTTTGTTCCATCCCAATATTTATCACTGAAAATATTGTCTAAGTACTTATCTCCTTCTCGCTTTCAGGAAACCTAACCTAAATATTATCATAATCATTTCAGAGATGTCTTGGATATTAATAATACAAAAAAAAAATGTTTTATTCTTAATCGATATTTATTTTATTAATGATATTTAAATTTATGATATTAATTTATTACCCCGAGTGGGCTTATAGTTGATGATGGGAATTGATGAATTTGTTCGTAATAACTAATAAGTATCCAAATCCAAAAAACGACAGGACCCGTGTATCATGCATAGGCACACTGCCCAAATATCACAGAAGAAGGTGGTACGCGTATGATTATATAATATAATGTGGAGACTTAACCTTAAGTTATACTCCGCTTCTGGGAAAAAGCACGTGTGCTGCACTGTTTGATACACTTACCCGCTTAGCACTTGCTCGTGCGTAAATAATATAACAAGACACGTGATGCTGCAAGACTGTTACATTTAAATTTGAGAAAATCCTGAGCTTGTATTGTAACCGTCGAGCCATTTAAGAAATAAAATTTGGTCCTTAAGGATATCGTTTAAAAATTTCATCTATCAAAATTTGAATAAATATACATTATTATTAAGGAACAAATGGGGGTGTGCGGGCACGTGAATCTATACCGCATAGGTACATATTATATTGAGTCAAGTTGATTACAATCCATTTGCAAATGTGCCAATATCAAATAGAAGGGCGCAGGGGAAATGCTCACACAGATTAACAGGGAAAAAATATGAGGGTTGCGGCCAAGAAAAATGTCGTTTGCGTTGCGCCTACGATGGTCGGTCACCAACGTGGTTGAAATCCAAGCATGACGAGATAATAATATAATGATTTTATTGTTACCTATTAATATAATGGATTTTATTATCATTAGTATAATATCGGTATAATACAACATAACGCGCGATGCGTTCGTGTGAGCTCGTGGCGGCGGCGGACGAAGAATCAATCTTCGCGCGCGCAAAAGGTCACCGCCGCCGCCGCCAGCTCGGTAGTCGCGGCATCGGCGAAAGGATCGTGTGCCGCCGGGCGAGCCGGATGCGACGCGAGTCTAGGCGGCAGGGGGGAGGGGGTGAATCGAAGAGTGGGCCACGGACTGCGGGCGTATAGACGGAAACGCCGCCGCCGCCGAAAGAAGGGCACGAGGCTGCGTTTAGCAAAAGCACCTGTGGTGCCCCACGGCGCACGATCGAACCGGGCGGCGGCGGCGGCGGCGGCGGGCCTTTGCGGGAGGCGCTCCGCACGTATATAATATATTTTATTATATAGTATGTAGTATATTACAACGTAACCGACGAGAGGGACAACAGTACGCACTACGGCGGCTCAGGGTCATGAGCTGACCCGGCCGCGCGCGCCACAGCCACCACCGCCGCCGCCGCCACACGCAACAGCGAATCGCGTCAGCCACCACCGTCGTCGCTGCTGCTGCCGCCGCCGCCGCCGCCGCCGGGTCGTCGTCACTTCGGCTGTCAACCCGACGACGATACCGCCGCGGTTGCCACCGTCGCCGCCTCCTAAGTCGACCACGTGTGCCAATTAGTCACACAGGTGAGTAATATAATTATAATAATATTTCTATTGTTATCGTTATTAAATTACAATAATTATCATTATTGTTGTTATGTGTTAACGTATTATCATTCTCACCTACACTGAGGTGTTGTGAGGCTTTTTGTTTCTTGTTGACATTTATCTCTGAATTTGCCCAAGCTTACGTGTGACCGCTTTCGACGAAACGACCTACAATATGAGTGTAATATGTTAGACATAATTATTCTGTAAATCGTTTTCCGGTCTCGAAAATATTTCCGCCCGGAAGTATTATGGTGCTCCAACACATTTTAATATTAAATCATATTATTACTATACGCTGCGACGGCCATTTGCACCTATTACCGTTTACGATGTAAGCATCATAACATTTGATAAGGAATTCTTCACCAGTATGCAAGTTTAGCCCTATATACAGGGGCTACACATCCTTATTATTATATCGGGCTGCTGAAATATTGTAAACGATATATTGTATTTTGCAAAGTTTTATTTTATGTGTTACCTACATAAAATTATTTACTAACAATATTATTACTATCGTAAAGTAAGCGATGTGGGTATAGGACGGTAGAATAATCGTATATACTACCCTATACTACAGTGGGCAGCGCACATTGCACAATTCGTTATTGTTTTCGTCGAGTACCTACCTATATACTAATATTATCATATTAATATTATATTGACATATGTGCACAGGTATTATAACACCTGTATTATTATTATTATTATTGTTATATATTCTAATCTTTTAACTTGTGCAGTTATATTATTATTTACCTATACAAGGTTCTCGCACACGTCTGGGTCATACACGTATAGAGCGTACTATTTGTTTTCGTTCTTCCCACGCCGTCATTATAATCGCACAACTGGGGATCGGGATGTATCCATCTATATATGTATATATATATACGTATAATATACATTTCAAATATAAATATACAACAAACATACTTGTTATGCGTTATATCCGCAAAAAAAAAAGAACACACATACCAAATAGGTAAATATCTATAATGTTATACACTCGTACGCGTACCTATATGATATTAATGTGATATTTTTTTGTATTGAAATGTCATTTGCTGATAATAATAATATGTATCATCGCGATTCGGGTCTCGTCCGCTCAGTCGAAACCAATAATATTATTCGCTCGTGCCACTTGTTTGCGATGCGCCGATGCCTCTGCACAAACGACGGGATATTTATGTACACGTGGGAAATGTATATTAGTTGTTGTGAACATGACATTGTGTACTGTATAGCACCTATACATAGGTATTGATTTTTTTTTTAAACACCGCTTGTTGGCTTTCAAAATATATAGTATCCTGCGCCACATATATAATATAGCCGACCGCTCTCATTCGATCCAAACCACCCAATCTCGGGACGCTCAAAGACATATTATTATATTGTAATATAGACGTATATTTTTATACGGACGAGCGTTTGAATAGAGACAACATAAATTGTTTTCTGGTTCATTTTCACAACAATACTGTAACATTGTGATATGCAATAAGCTTTAAAAGTAATATATTTTCCTTAATTATTTTCATAAGCATTAATAACATTTAACACATTAAATAACAATTCACAACTGCAAAATCATCAAAATATTGTAATTATAGCAATTATTACAGTTGATGATATAAATACATCCTATGTATTTTTGGTACCGATCTATTTTAGGAGGGAGTGGAAATACAAGATGTAATGTGTGTGTCGGATGCCAGGCGGGGGTAAGGGGCCACGATCATGGACTTTTTTTCAAAGAAATTGTGTGAAAATATATAATGAGTATAGTATTTATTGCGTTTAGTAGATATATATTATATTTGCATGTATAAAAGATATAGACAATAGATCTAATCGCTAATCTCATTAAGCTTGTTAGTTGTGTACAAGCCTGGCACACTCGAGTAGTAAAATACAACATTTGCATCACTGCTAAAGAATTGATAAATTAGTTGGAAAAAATAAACTAAAATTAAGTTTTATAGTGTAATTTTTTTAGTTTAAAATTTTGAAATAAAATATTGTATTAAATATGTGTAAGTTTCATTTCAATTTATAGGTAATTTATAAAACTAAATTTAACTTCATAAATATACATGCAGAAGAACTAACACTTTGAATTCGGGGGCTCGAGATTTTTTTCTAATGATTTTTTTCAATCCTCTCCCCCTATACAAACTTTGCACGCATACATCACTGTATCTGTTATGTAAAGTGTTCCCATGACAGATGACAATATACTTCTACTAGAACCAGTTTTTTTCAGTTTTCGTACCATAAAATATTATAATTGATACACCTGTATTGTGACTGAATTAGGCAATTCAATAGTTAGATTAGTAATTGAAAAAAATATTAGTTTTTATTATTTAAAAAAAAATGAGAAACATAATAATATTTGACGAATTATAAATAATAATCTTATTGTCTTCATATTATAATATAATATTTGACAATCATTGTGCTGGGAGCCAACATTTTAAAATTTCTTTCAGGATTTTCTAGGAAATCGAAATGGTCATTATTATCATCTAATTTTCTTAACATAAATTCAGCCAAATAATGTTGGCCCTTTAAGTACAATTGAATGTCTTATAACTAACGATTCCACTTTACTTGAATATTAACTATATTTTGTAAAAAATAACAATAATTTGTGTATTAATTATTATATTATAAATATTTCATACATATCATTACTATTGAATTACTTACCACCATAATAAAATTTATATATTATTTATTATTATATCAAGATAACAGAGATTAAACGTAAACTGGAAATTAGCGAGGCTGCGGGGGTAAAAATGAAAAAAATACCGTAATAAGTATTTTATAGTTTATATTACACGATGATATTTCATGCATAATAAAATATTTATTAACTGTAAGTAAACACTGTAATGGTACTTTATCAGACTATATATATTACATATACTTTATTATATTATAATAATATCTTACAAATGGTCAATCAGATTGGTCTGAAAAATCTAACCTCGTGTAGAATAATGCCTACGTTATAATATTACGTACACGATGAAAATATTATAAATAAGTTGTAATGTTTTGCAGCAGTGATGTTGAGCCCGAAGATGCAAAGATGTGTCCGGGTGGTAGACAATCAGCTCCTGATGTTGTCGGACCGCGCCCGTACAGATAGCACACTCACCGGAAATCTACACAAAAAAGCGTCAGACAGTGGGAGGTGGAAGAACCGATTTTTCGTTCTCTACCAGGTATGTAGTACTAATATAATCGCGCACACAGATCCACATATTCTGGTCGAATAAAATTATAATTGTCCTTTCTACAATCATATTTTTATGATTTTCTAACGAATACAATTACTATGCATAAAATACCGTAATCACTAAAGGTATTTCAAATGTTTGTATTATTTTAGTATTACATATTAACGAATTTCACTCGCAGTTTAAAATTTGAAATTAAAAAAAACACCATATTTTTGAAAATGTCTTACTTGGGAAAAATAACGAATAGCTACATTGTTGAAGTTTAATTTAATAACATTGAATGTAGAAATGTGATGTATGTATATTGTATATTATATCGAATATTGCAATACCTATATAAAACACCGACGCATTGAAACGAAATGCACGTGCAAATAGAAACAAGCTAGGTATATCGATATTGATGTTAAACAGAAACGTTTTAGTACGGATATTTTCAACAATATAATATAGTCGATTGAGCATCATAAACTCCCTTTTATAAAATGTATAAATTGCTCATAGCAAATCATTTTTATCACCGTCCGTTGCAAATTGATCGTTCGAGTGAAATTTTTTTAACTTATTTGTAAAATGTATTCAGTTATCGCTTAAAGTGTGTAATATATTATACATTATAATACAACCAGGTCAGTTGAAGACCAAATGGCCTTGTAAATATTAATGTCGGTCCTGGAGAACAGATTATAATTTATTGGAACACCTATATACAGTTAGGTATAATAAGCGTTTTTCCCCCATGATGTCCCAAGTATTATTATAAAGTACTATAGTTAGAAAAAGTTCAATATTGATTTCCTCTGAATATCAAATTGATTCATTTTATACCCATAATTATCCCTGCGCCTCTATATTATATATTATCATATTTTTTGTTTGGTTTTCATTTTAAATTAGTTCCTAATTTTCATTCATCCAGACGACTACAAAGTTTTCTTCAACGCCTATCACAAGATGTGTTTGGCATGGAGATAATGTGAAATGTAGTCTACAATTGACATATTATATTGTATTACTGCTATTTTCATAATACCCCAAGGGAGTCGTAGTCGGAAACCGGTAGGAACAATCCGTTGGCATCTCGGGAGATGATAGCCGCTTGACCAGACCTTTTCATATTTTGCATGATGACTGTACCTACGTATTGTGGTCACCTGCCTAACCATACTGAACCACTTGGTCCCAAGTTTTCATATTTTAAATAGAGTAAGACACCGATTATCTTAGTAGATATTTTAACATCACTGCTAAGAATTTTGATATTAAATTCTCTAAAAAAAATCCAAAGTTGTCTAGTTTCATTGAAAAAATAATATTCTTTCACTGCCTATAGTAGTTAAAATATCTGTAAATTTTATACGAAATATTTAATGGAGTGTATACGACAATAAATATATGGCTAGTCAGAAGTCAAGAATATTTGTCATCACACATTTGAAGCTATTTAATACATATTATATTACTGCATGATCGTGTTTATTTTCAAAGATAGTTTTAATCATTGAGATTCATGGTTATTGTTAATTATTATTTTATTTTTTTTATTTTAAAAATTTTTATGAGTATAATCAATTAGTATAATATACTGAAATGAATAATTTTTTATATCAAAATGTATAATGTATATAATTTATATAAATATATTATAATTTTTATATTTTGTGGTATATTTAACCTTATAAGAGCTATACATTTCATATACATTCTTCTAAGGTTCAATGTAGTTTTTATTTTGATTAGATAATGGGGTTTGGTGAATCATTCAAAAATTAAACCATAGGGATGAACTACATAACATGTTAACACTATTCTGTTCTATATAGTATTTAAACTATAATGTGCAATAAGTTCACTTCCAGATTATGGTTGATTATTTTGTTGAATTATATACCTGTGATGGTATAACTCTCTTCTTAAAATTATAATTTACATTAAGGAATAACCACTCAACTGTCTATTAACAGTTAGTAGTATACATAACCCTACATAAACCATAAATCTAACGAATTATACCAAATTATAGGAATTAAAGAAATTAGAGCTCTGATATCAATTGAACGAGATAAAAAGGAAAGTCATTATATAGTTCTAAATATAACAGCCATTATTGGTGTTTCGTATAGTTTATCGACTACCTATATTTAACAAAATTTGACATTTATTTCATGTAATTTATATACCGTAGGCACATTAAGTGCAATGGATTCAAATATATAGCATATCAATAATATTCTTGGAAGTGTAGGTATATATGGTATCATAATTTGAATAACATTCATAATACGTTCATAAATTGAACTCATATTATTACATTTTTTTTTTAGAATAAAATAAAATAATTAATGTTGTAATATTCTCACAGACATTATTTACTTTTCAATGAGTTTAAAATTGAAATTTCTCTTACTGTGTATCTCGATTCTCGGACTATAGACTAAAAGGATCTACTACATTGAAAGTCACTCATAGAAAAAGTAATTTAAGCCTTAACTGTTGTCTGTAAACTACAACATATTTTAGGCTGTCATTTGCCGAGTATTCTGAGAAAAAAAATACTTATAGATATTATTATTTTTCATTTTCGTACAATTCCCTGAAGCAACTTTTTATGGTAGTTGAAAATTACTAGTCTATCCTTTACAGGCAACAAAATGACACCAAATAATATCCATGTTAAAAAAAACATAGAGTTAAAAAATGAACACTTTTAACAGAGAAAAAATATTCTCAATACAACGTTGGTTACAAATATTTAATATAACTTCGTTAATCACTATATACAACCACAAATATCAATTAAATTGGTGTATTTCTTATTGAAGAAAAAACAATAAAATTGTATTTTAAAATTGGTAAACAATAAATAAAAATGTATAAGATCCTGCACATAATTATCTAACGAAATCAATAAATCATTCTGGTGGTGATAATTCAAAACTAATTGTTTTGGCGATATTCAACAGACCAATGATTCGCTTCATTTTGAATGAAAATCATTAAAATCCTAGTATTTTGACGATATTGTGTGCAATTTTAAAATAAATGACTAGTTATGATATAATATTCCTTACTTTATAATTTGGACATTACATTATAATATAACTATTGCGAGGGGATTTTATTTCAAAGTTTGTAATTGAGAATCAAAGTTTCATAGGAAATATTATATAACTTAAATACTTAATGATGTCATTATATAGCTAAGACTACGAAATATTTTATTCAAAACATAGAATTTGTCTTCGACAAATCCCGGAGTTCAAACCCGTGACTGTCATATCTTTTGATAAACACAAAGTAGAATAAAAGCTAACTGGAAAAAAATTGTTCAGTGTTCTAATAAATCAACTAATAAACTAGAAGTCTAGATTTTTAAAGGCAAGGTTTAAAAGCTCTTTCTAAACCTTATATACCTTATCTTTTTTTATTATTTTTCCTGGCGTACACAGTTTGATTTACGACGCACATTTCACTCGTTGCGTGCCGAGCTTCTCGAAAAGAACAACAAATTTAGGCAAGTTCATTTTGTTTGCCAAGCCGGATGAAACCTAAGTAGACCGGAAAACGAAAAAAGAGAAGTGAGTGAGAAAGTAAAAAGAAACAACGTTTGTGATGTTACCCATACTAAGGTAAAAAGCAACAGGTCAATGTTTAACTTTTGTATTTTCTCATCAAGCAACTCAGCCACATGTTCTAAAAATAAATTGCTAATCCTATTTTATTTTTATTTATATATAATTGTTGAACTAAAGAGTTATTGATGCTCTAAACAGGTAGTATTTACAATTTTATTGCACAAAAAACTGATGTTGATAATAATATGTTAGATGTACATAACAGTGATAAAAATAGGTTGGTAATTAAATTTAAAATTAAAAGTATTATCGCATTTGCATCCATGTGTTAAACAAAAAATATATATTTTTTATAAAAGTTCTAAACAGTGATTTAAAATTAATTAGATTTAGTTTTCTACTTTGTTAATATCATTACATATACAAATTAAGTTAACTATCATGATACAATTGATACCATAATTACATAAATATTACCGTCATAATGTTTCATTGTCAGATTAACCACTATTTTACCATATCATATACTATTTATGAAATTGTTGAGTGTAACCATTATGTCAAATTGTTACTGCAGTAGGTGACGATAATTATAACTGTTGGCTAATACAATCATCTTAATTTAAATTTTTTATTAAATATATTGCTGGAGTAACGTCTGGCTGCTATTTTCTAGCAAAACGAATATTTTTAATGACTAATAAATAATAAGTAATATACAGTCTAAATAATATTAGTTAATGCAATAATGTATCTACCCTGAAATATTATTAATCACCTTAACTCAAACGTATTTATTTAAATATGCATGAGTACAATCTTCAATTTTCAGTAAAACAATAATAACGAAAGGTACTGAAACTGGAGGTATCACCGGTGTGGGTGAACAATTTTTATAATCATTTGTGTGTCGCAAATTTAATATTCACTTACCAACTTGTTGATAGAACAAATAATTTAAAATTTAAAATTTACTTCATTTTAATCCCAATGAAATGCTGTAATTTTTAAGTACCAGTTGTCCATGTGATTATGTTATAATTATATATATAGACAAATAAAAAATATTGATTCAAAGCGTTTAATCTTAAAGATAACACAAAATATTTCTGTCCAGCGACCTTGGATTGAAATGGGCTTTTCAAGAAGACCAAGGCAGTATTATAAGAAGTAAACATTGTTCGACTATTTAAAAATGTTTATCGCCGAATTACTTGTTGAAGTTAGTTTAATGTGAAATCGCATAAAAATTTGGAAAATACTTGGATGTTAATTAAAAAAATTATGAATTTAGTACTTTAAATTGAAAATTTAACTTCATGTTAGTAATAAGTCAGTTTTCGTTCAATAGCAGTGGATAAAAAATATACAAATCTGGTGTCGAAAATATATTGGTAAGTGTTACTA